TTCCTGCTGTGCTTTTTTGTGTGTGACTTGGAAGGTCTGTAAATACAGCAAGATGTATGTGTCCCTGAAAATCTCTGTTAAGAAATAAGAATTCTACTTGCTCATAGTAGCCAGAACGTTAATTCTAGCGATCAATGAATAAAGCTTCTTCACCCGGTCAAGGGTCATATCTTGAAGACTTCTGACAGCCTAGTATTCGTTAATCCTATAATGTAGAATAATCCACTATTATCTGTTAGATTTCAGGATATTTAGGAATTCTTGTATGGTTGCTGGAGAGCATAGTCCAACAGACAATATCATATATGATGTGAAGTACAGATAACTTCTTCAAAAATACTAGAAAGAACAAAAGAACTTGAAGCATTAAGTAAAGAAATGATCCAGTGATTAATGCCTTTGGTAAAATATACCGACTCAAGGCAGAACTGTGAATCGAAATGAATAATTTGAAATGTGAAAAAACTTGGAGTTAAGGAGAAGATATTAATTAAACATCTCCTCTCTGAATCTGCTGCACACACTGGGCATATTCCAAGGTTAGGATTTTGAAAATATGACATTGAAAATAATGACTACAGGGCAAAAGTTTGGCTTGTGGTTAGATCTCATGCAAAATTGGGTTAGCTTTGGCTTGAATACATAAGATATCTGTGCTTTGTGGCTTGCTTAGTTGTTAAAGTCCTTTCAAAAGTTAAAGCCATACTTACCTGAGTAACCTTTATTCAGATAAATCTTTCCATCAGTGTCACAGACTAGCCATTACACCAGAGTTTGCAGGATAGGACTCTTGCAGGTATGTTCTAGTAAACTGTCCCAGTGTGATCCAGAAAACATCGGGACTAACAATGGGATTGAAAGCCATGATTTCTCTGAGTTAGTGTGTGGTGTGTGTTCACTAGCCAGCACTAATGCACGTGCATAGGACTAGTCTTGATACTGTGTGCTGTGTATTAGTGGGAATAGGAACACAGCAGGGTATGCAATTAGCCTGGCATTCGTCAGCTACACACAGAAACAACAAATACTCCCATTAACGTTCCCACCCTGAGCTATGACTAGGACTTCAGCCTTTGTCCAGGGGGCAACTACTGTTCTTGCTTGCATAGTCAATGGGGAAAAGAGAGCTAGGTACAGAACTGTGCCAAGAATATGTGCTATTATTTTTTATAATTTTTTGGCCTTTCTTCACAAGCTGCAGTTAGGTGCAGTGGTTTTTTAGAGGCTTGTTTAGAACAAAAAGACATGTCAGGTTCAAATCTGCTGCAGACAATTACAAAGCTATGTAGTGATAGTAGGAGAGAAGGAGATGTTGAAGGCTCCTTAGAATCAACTGATGTAGTCTTGCAAAGCAAAGAGGTTTAGTTAAGCCACTGGGCACTTGCCAGAAGTTCCAAATCATCAGTGGTTTCTCCAGGCTGGGTTGATACTGAGCTTTTAGACTCTGATGTCCCTGTAACTCCAGCTGTGTTCAATGGTGTTCTTTCACTCTAGGCTTCGCCTCCATGACGGGAAGCTCATTAAGGACAGACGTTACCACCTCCGAACATACCCAAACTGCTTCGTGGCAAAGGAGCTCACAGACTGGCTGATTGACCACAAAGAAGCACCTGACCGAGAGACTGGTATCCGCCTAATGCAGAAGCTAATGGACCATTACATCATCCATCATGGTTTGTGGCTTTTTTAGCTACCCCTAAAGTCTCCCCAGAGAGGACATCTGAGTGTCTGGTCACAGTGTTTGTCAGTCAGTCCGGGAGATGGGAGTAGTTAAGTCTCTGTTTTATGACCCTCCCATGGGTGAGGTCTCCCAGAGGAGCTGGAGCAAATACAAGGCCATACAGAACTGGATCTCTGTTAAGTTGTAGTGCTTTGGAGGATATCTCAGTTCCCTGTGCCACAGAGAAGATACTAGGGCTATGTACTGTTTATAAAAAAAAAAAAAAAAAAAAAAGGACATCTGAAGTGTCTCTTATTTGAAAGCAAGTTCAGTAATGTCTGACCTGTATTCCCTGCAGCAAATGCATCCGCCTAAACAGAGCGGTGGATATTTTTACAGATGCTAGTCTTTGCTTATGTTTGTATCATGCAGAAAAGGAAGATGAATGATAGCGGATATTTCATGTGTGCACCAACGTTCATTTTTTTACCATGCCAAGACAGTGTCCCTCAGTTCCCCAGCATACGCTGGGGTAGGAGAAGTAGAGGTGTGGAGTCCATGCCAGTCAGTGCAAAAGGTAGTCCAATCGCTATAAACTTGAGGCCAAAGCAATCCTACAGGAATGTCTCCCTTCGAAACTAAATGTGTGTGATACCATTTTAAAGGCTTTCATTTGAATCGGATTCAGACAGCCACTGCTGAAGTCTTCCTGTTCTCTTGGTTCCTATGTGATGCTAGCATGGAGAAAACACTATTTATTGTGTGACAATTGTCCATATCAATACAGAGCCATGCTGAAAAGACCAGATGTTCAGCCAAGTCTGGGACGGCTTCCCTGCCTTGACCTTTCCTGCCTTTGACAACATATCTCCCACTCTGACAGGCAAGAGCAGTGATTCTTAAATAAGAAGTCAATGAAGATTTCTTCAATTTTATCTTAATCAGGTTTTTCTGTGGATATATCAGGGCTTTAGGCCAAAAACTTCTTTGCTAATAAAAAAAGAAAATAAGTTTATGGGTTTTTTTGGTTTTTGTTTGTTGGGCTCTCAGAAAGAGCCACATGTCAGTGGCGCAGTGGGGGACTCAGCTTCCATGGGTCCCTTTGCAAAGGAAGCTGGGAGAGCATTGCCCTCCATGGGAAGGTTTGTAACTAGAACTGTCTGAGAAGAAACCTGCATACTCCCCTTGGCTGAGCTCTCTTGCAAACCTGCTTCCAAGTCTTCAGGACAAGAGAGGTGGTTACCTGAAGTTCGCTGGTAGTTTATCACAAGAGGATGCAACTGAGGACATAGAAGCAGATGACAGTCATACGAATTTCAACCTGATCTTCCCCTCCCTTCTACAGAGACCAGAAATAGCTGTCTTTACCCACTGCAATGCAAACATTTTCAGTTGCCATCTGCTACTTGCAGGCATTAATGCCCTTTACATTAAGGTACCTTGAATAAAAATAAGCTCTGCTGCTGTGCTTTATCGCAAAAGAATAGAGATGAAGCAGTTAGTTCTTGGTTAACCATTAACGCTTAAAACTGATTATTTTTCCATCTTTCCAGTGATTTCTTCACAGCCAGGCTGTTAAGTTCAAATAAATCTGTTAGTTATTAAACCTGTGCAGCACTGGGTACCAGTGCTGTTTTGATAGCTTACTGTGGACATGTCCCTCCTGTTCCTGTGATAATTCCTTGCAGAACACAAAAGTTGACTTTCTGACTCATCTTAGGACCATTAATTTTCATTAGTTCTATGGTAACAGGATGCTAAGTGCTTTTCAATTGGCTATCTAAACTGTTTGCACTCTTCTTGATTGGGATCCAGAAGGCAATAATTATCTCATGCAGATCATTGTGCTGCTTCTTAATGATCTGATGTGGTTTGAGCTGTTCTATTACATGCTGGAAACACGTTGAAATTGGTCTTCAAATAGCAAAAGTATTTTGGCTTTCCATGGGCTTGGTCAATGTGTTCAGTTCTCACCTATCAACCAATTGTAATGACATCTGATTCATTATTCCTTTCAGTTAAGAAGATGAAAACTTTCACCTTTTAAAACAACTGTCTGGACCTCTCTCCTTGTCTGATGCAATGTCCTGATTTTGCACTATGAAGAGTATTCAGGAAGAATTCTGAACTCCAGATAATCTGATAGTTATTAGGACTGAGCTGGTCACCAAAAAGGGAATGAGGTTTTGCCAGTCTGTTCTGAAGAAATGAACAGTTGTTACTTAAAATTTTCACAAGAACTGTCTTGTGGCTTTTGAATTTTTATATGCACATTATTTTAGCCAGGAAATATCTCTCTTCTTTTTCCCTTTGACTAGTTTTCTTTGTTTTTTGGGCATATTCTTACTTTACTCTTTTTTTACCCCTGAAACTAAGCAAGAAATATCTCTCTTCTTGGTTCAAATGGGCGAACCTGAAGAATGGCAGGACCTATTTGATAGCTGAACTGTGATTTCTGGGGGAGGGTTAGTCTGAGAGTCTATTGCGGTCAAGATTATCTCAAAAGTGTATCTCAAATATTTGCCCATGAAACACTGCATACACTTAACACCCATGCATCCACAGGTGGTGCACTCATCCCCAAGGTAAATGTGAAAATGAGACTTTTTGTATTGATTGAATTATTCCAGTTGTATGCACCTAGCTTTAAAAATTCAAAAGCTCCAGAGGTCAGCTTGCCATACAAATAAATTAGGCTGGGCTGGCACAAAACAGTGTGGAAAAGTTGAATGTGGAATGTCATTACACATTTTAATATACGAGTATTTTCAACACGGACAACGGTGATCTAATGGGGTTTTGGATGCAGTGTTGGAGGTCTGCCTCCCTCCCCCAAGTCTGCTTATGTGTGGCAGTAGCAGTTCTATTTTTTTTTTTTCATCTAGACCTAAACAGCAACATTTAAAAAAAAAAAAAAGTTTTAATGAGCATTTTAGTGACTGGATCAAAATGTAGACGGCTTTCCTAAGAAGTTTTTTACAGTGGGACTGACTTCTCCTGCCAGCTGGGCTGCAGGGATTCTTAAGCACCTAATTTGGGGACTGGAGGCTCAAATGCTAGTTGTGGTGTGGGCTGGTTGCTGCACGGATGGCTTCAGCAACGTTGTGAGAGGCCTAGAGAAGGGTATCACACACAAACTTCCATAGCTTTTAACCTAGAGATAGCAGAAACTGCTCAGTCTGTGCTCTGTGTAGCTCTGTTGTCTATCTGTTATGGTCTGACATCCAGGCTGTGCTGACTGCACCCTACAGTACTGTTGTGCTTGTTCTGAACTCCTCCTTTCAGTTTGTGATGAGCATTCAGACTACAAGGATGCCAAGCTGTTGTACCGTTTCCGCAAGGATGATGGGACCTTCCCTCTCAGTAAGGACGTGAAGGTGTTCATGAGAGGACAGAGTCTTTATGAGAAGTACGTGAGTCTTTTCCCTGCAAAATAATTCTTAGCAAGGGCTTTGGAAATGCAGTCTACTGGTTCCGCTTCTGCTGACACTTTGCACCTGGGAACCACCACTACAGCCAGCCTTTCTCTTCCTTTTGTTTTGTTTTGTACCCCATGCTGTAGCGTCAGGAAATACTGTTTCCTGAGTCCTGTCACAGCAACAGAATAGCAGGCGTTTTTTGGATCTTAGAGAGGGAGAAGAGCTGGAACCTGAACTTGCTGATATTTTGAAGGACTCCTACCCAAGTGCGAGTTCTGGGTTCCAATACAAGGAAGGATCTAATTTGTAGTTAAAGTGCTGGTTGGGATGGGCCCATCCAGTGTCTGTTGCCAGCACTCCCACGAACTCCCTAGCTGAGTCACTTTTCCACCAGCACTTGGGAGTCGTGTCGCACTGAAATCAGCAGGACATAGGATCTTCAAGGCCCCTTGTGGACCTGGATCCCTGTACCTCACTTAGTCTATCTGCAAAATTTCCAGTGGAAACACCAATTCTCACATAGTAAGGAAAAATTCGTACGTATCAAGATGTTTGCTGAGAAACGTTTTGTTCTTGTTGATCAGTTACGATTCTAAATCCAAACCATCTTCACAGACATGTAACCAATCTTTTCATTAGACTGAGTTCAATGTTAGAGCTCACTCTATCTCCTTTAACGGCCTCTTAATATTTTCTTGATCCTCAACACTCTGGAAGTCAGATTTACAAATTAGCACTGAGGGAGAATTCCTTCTTCAGGCAAACAGAGAGGTGATTTCTGCTGTCTCCCTGCCCTTCTGGCAGAAATGCATCATTTGTATTTTGCTTTTGCACAGCTGTGGCAGAAGAAATGACTGGAGAAGAGCATCCAGCTCTTCTTATGACTGAGGCCACTGCACCCTCTCGTGGATGCACTGGGTTTAGTTTTCACACATGCAGCGAACAATGCACTTGTCTTTACTGAAATGCATCTTCTCCATCAATTTGGATTATCTAATGTCTGGATATACATTTGATTGCTTGTTTGCCTTTCC